GGCAGGGATGGGTGTCCCCCCCCAAAAAGGGGATGGGAAGCCCCCGGCTTGGGATGGCAGAGACCCCGCTCCTGTCACCTCCCCAGCGGCCTTGAGGAGCCCCTTATCACCTTCTAACCTAAACAAGCCACTTTGTACCAGTCTCCCCGTCTCCGGCTTCTGCTGAGTTTTATAAACAACTTCCCCAAAAGAGGCTGACGAGGATGTTTTTTTCCTCTCGCCTTGGGCAGTCCTGGAACGGGGGGTCCCTGCACCCCGGAAACCACTGGGTCCTGCCTTCCCCTTCGCCCCGCACCCAGGAGGGCTGGCCTTTGGGTGCCATTGGTCCCCAAACGTTAGCCCCGGGGAGGGCTCCAGCTCCTGGGGGGGGATATAAAGGCTGGAGGATCAGCCCAAGTTCTCTGCGCCGGGGTTTGCTGGAAGAAGGAGGGATGGGACCCAAAAGCAGCTTGATCTTGGCTCTTCTCTGCTGGGTTGGGGGCGAGGTGGCGGCCTACCCTCCCTCGCCTTGGGATTTCTCCTGGGGGGCGCGGGCAGAACCTCACCCTTGGTCCTGGGTGGAGGACCCCCAGTCTCGAGCCATCGCCACCAGCCAGCGGCCGGTGACGGTGCAGTGCCAGGAGGCTCAGCTGGTGGTGACGGCCCACCGGGACCTCTTCGGTACCGGCCGCCTGGTCAACCCCGCCGACCTGACGTTGGGGCCTGCGGCCTGCAAACATTCCACCCTCAACCCGGCCCCCATCAACACCGTCGTCTTCACCGCCGGCCTCCACGAGTGCGGCAGCATCGTCCAGGTAAGACCACCTTCCCCCTCAGATCTTCCCTCAAACTCCAGGGATCCACAGCCCACCATCCCTTCACCCACGTAGAGCAGCTCCAGGGACCGAGCATCCCTCCGGGAGCATCCTAAGGGAAGGATGAGCGAGTATTTCCCTCCCAAAAAACCTGCTTTTGCCCTTTTTGGCTGGAGGGAAAGTTCATCATGGGATGAAGTTCCATCAGGGAACTTCAGGGAAAGTTCAGCTGGCTGAGAAGGGAGCAGGGCTCCTTCTCCATCCCTTTTCTCTCCCCCCCCGGCCCTTTTCTTTGGATTTCCTTTCCCAGTTTGGACACGCAGCCGGGTGGTGGTGGTGGTGGGAGGTGGGGGTGGCCTCTCCGTTGGGGTTTCTCAATGTTTTCCTGCCCAGATCACGCCGGATTCCCTCATCTACCGCACGCTCCTCAACTACGACCCCAGCCCCGCCAGCAACCCCGTCATCATCCGCAACAACCCCGCCGTCATCCCCATCGAGTGCCACTACCCCAGGTAAGGTCTTCCCCCACCTCGGGGTGTTGTCCCCCCAGGGAGGGGGGGGAAACCAGCACGGGGTGGAGGGTCCTGATGGATGGACCTTGCCCAGGAGGGAGAACGTCAGCAGCAGCGCCATCCGTCCCACCTGGGCTCCCTTCAGCTCCACGCTGTCGGCGGAGGAGAGGCTGGTGTTCTCCCTGCGCCTCATGAACGGTAGGTGGGAAGCCATCCCGACGTGTCTAGGGGGGATGAGGGGGGTGGAGGAGCTCAGGGAACCTATTCCCAGCGTGGAGGAGCTCGGGGAACCTATTCCCAGCTTTGAGGAGCTCGGGGAACCAGCACCCCAAGTGGGGAAGCCAACCCCCACCTCCACGGCAAACACCAGCGCTCCTTCTTCTGGGCTTCAGCCTTGGGGCTGGTCCCATGGGGGGACAGCCGGGGCCACCCTCCTCGGTCACCTTGGTGTTGTTCTTGCAGAGGACTGGACAGCTGAGAGACCTTTCACTGGTTTCCAACTGGGCGATGTCCTCAACATCCAAGCGGAGGTGGCCACCGAGAGCCACACGCCGCTGCGGTTGTTCGTGGACAGTTGCGTGGCCGCCCTCAGCCCCGGCACCGACTCCTCACCCCACTACGCCATCATCGACCACAACGGGTGAGCCCCGCTGGGACCCCCCCGCCATGGGGACACCCACCGGGATGCTGACACCACTCCCCTCCTCATCATCCTCATCCCACCCCAGGTGCTTGGTTGACGGGAGGATGGATGACACCAGCTCTGCCTTCATCACCCCCCGGCCCCGGGAGGACATGTTGCGCTTCAGGATCGACGTCTTCAGGTTCGCGGGGGACACCAGGAACCTGGTATGGCTACGTGTGTGTGTGTGTGTCCTCACCAACCCCAAACCAAGCTGGTGTCATCCCCCCCAAGAAGCGAGTCCCCACACCTCTCTCCCCTGTCCCCTCCCCGCAGATCTACATCACCTGCCACTTGAAGGTGACCCCAGTTGACCAAGCCCCGGACCCTCTGAACAAGGCTTGCTCCTTCAACAAAGCCAGAAACACGTGAGTAGCCACCCTCCTAGGGATGGGGATGGTCCCCACCAGCATCAGGGACCCCGACTTGGGGGTTGGGGTGGGGGACACACACACAAACCAACGCTTCCTGGAGCTCTGGTGATGATGGGCCCACCTTGCTCCAGCTGGTCACCGGTGGAAGGGACCCGGGACATCTGTAGCTGCTGTGAGATGGGCAACTGCGAGTCCCCCGCGCTCTCCCGGAGGCTGAGCCCCCTGGACCGATGGCCCAGCCGCCGCTTCCGCCGCCACGACGCCAAGGGTAAGGTCTCCCCACCCCTGTGGGGACACGATGATGGAGTTGGGGGGACACTGAGCCCATCTCACCACTCCTTCCTCCCCAGGGAAAGAGGCTGAAGCCGACGTGGTCATCGGCCCCGTGCTCCTCTCCAGGGACCCCGGCGCGGTGGGAGAGCAGCAGGAGGGGGGTCAGGGTGAGTCCTCACTAGCCACCAGACCCCACTAGCCACCAGACCCCGAGGTGACAACCTCTAACGGTCATCCCCACCCCATTTCCCTTGGTTTTGCAGGTGGAGCGACGGCGGTGGCCGGCGTGGGGCCGAGGCTGATGTACGTGGTGGCCAGCGTGGGGCTGGCCGGGGTGGTGCTGGGGGTGGCCGTGGGGTACAGGAGGTGCACCCACACCTCGGCCTGAGCCTGGGGAGACACACCAATAAAGCCTGGGAAGGACAAACCGCCTCCGTGCTGCCATGACACCCTGGGGACATCCCTGCCTGCGCTTGGTGGCCCTGCCAGGGAAGGGAGCGTGTCACCCCTGAGCCCCACATCTCCTCAGGGGAAGGTCCCCCCTCATCTCCACCCGGGTGGAAGCCCTCCTGGGGTTCATGGGTGGCACTGGGGACGGTCCCCCCTCATCTCCACCCGGCTGGAAGCCCTCCTGTGGTTCCTGGGTGACACTGGGGACAGTCCCCCAGAGGAATCCCAGCTGTGTCCCCCCCCGGCCACAGCTCCTGAGGGATGGGGAGGGCAGAGCAGGGTGCGTGGGGGGCTCCAGCTCATGGAGGGAAGGACCTCAACTGGGGGGAAACCAGCACGGGGTGGAGGGTCCTGATGGATGGACCTTGCCCAGGAGGGAGAACGTCAGCAGCAGCGCCATCCGTCCCACCTGGGCTCCCTTCAGCTCCACGCTGTCGGCGGAGGAGAGGCTGGTGTTCTCCCTGCGCCTCATGAACGGTAGGTGGGAAGCCATCCCGACGTGTCTAGGGGGGATGAGGGGGGTGGAGGAGCTCAGGGAACCTATTCCCAGCGTGGAGGAGCTCGGGGAACCTATTCCCAGCTTTGAGGAGCTCGGGGAACCAGCACCCCAAGTGGGGAAGCCAACCCCCACCTCCACGGCAAACACCAGCGCTCCTTCTTCTGGGCTTCAGCCTTGGGGCTGGTCCCATGGGGACAGCCGGGGCCACCCTCCTGGGTCACCTCGGCGCTGTTCTTGCAGAGGACTGGACGGCTGAGAGACCTTTCACTGGTTTCCAACTGGGTGATGTCCTCAACATCCAAGCGGAGGTGGCCACCGAGAGCCACACGCCGCTGCGGTTGTTCGTGGACAGTTGCGTGGCCGCCCTCAGCCCCGGCACCGACTCCTCACCCCACTACGCCATCATCGACCACAACGGGTGAGCCCCGCTGGGACCCCCCCGCCATGGGGACACCCACCGGGATGCTGACACCACTCCCCTCCTCATCATCCTCATCCCACCCCAGGTGCTTGGTTGACGGGAGGATGGATGACACCAGCTCTGCCTTCATCACCCCCCGCCCCCGGGAGGACATGTTGCGCTTCAGGATCGACGTCTTCAGGTTCGCGGGGGACACCAGGAACCTGGTATGGCTACGTGTGTGTGTGTGTGTCCTCACCAACCCCAAACCAAGCTGGTGTCATCCCCCCCAAGAAGCGAGTCCCCACACCTCTCTCCCCTGTCCCCTCCCCGCAGATCTACATCACCTGCCACTTGAAGGTGACCCCAGTTGACCAAGCCCCGGACCCTCTGAACAAGGCTTGCTCCTTCAACAAAGCCAGAAACACGTGAGTAGCCACCCTCCTAGGGATGGGGATGGTCCCCACCAGCATCAGGGACCCCGACTTGGGGGTTGGGGTGGGGGACACACACACAAACCAACGCTCCCTGGAGCTCTGGTGATGATGGGCCCACCTTGCTCCAGCTGGTCACCGGTGGAAGGGACCCGGGACATCTGTAGCTGCTGTGAGATGGGCAACTGCGAGTCCCCCGCGCTCTCCCGGAGGCTGAGCCCCCTGGACCGATGGCCCAGCCGCCGCTTCCGCCGCCACGACGCCAAGGGTAAGGTCTCCCCACCCCTGTGGGGACACGATGATGGAGTTGGGGGGACACTGAGCCCATCTCACCACTCCTTCCTCCCCAGGGAAAGAGGCTGAAGCCGACGTGGTCATCGGCCCCGTGCTCCTCTCCAGGGACCCCGGCGCGGTGGGAGAGCAGCAGGAGGGGGGTCAGGGTGAGTCCTCACTAGCCACCAGACCCCACTAGCCACCAGACCCCGAGGTGACAACCTCTAACGGTCATCCCCACCCCATTTCCCTTGGTTTTGCAGGTGGAGCGACGGCGGTGGCCGGCGTGGGGCCGAGGCTGATGTACGTGGTGGCCGGCATGGGGCTGGCCGGGGTGGTGCTGGGGGTGGCCGTGGGGTACAGGAGGTGCACCCACACCTCGGCCTGAGCCTGGGGAGACACACCAATAAAGCCTGGGAAGGACAAACCGCCTCCGTGCTGCCATGACACCCTGGGGACATCCCTGCCTGCGCTTGGTGGCCCTGCCAGGGAAGGGAGCGTGTCACCCCTGAGCCCCACATCTCCTCAGGGGAAGGTCCCCCCTCATCTCCACCCGGGTGGAAGCCCTCCTGGGGTTCATGGGTGGCACTGGGGACAGTCCCCCCTCATCTCCACCTGGGTGGAAGCCCTCCTGGGGTTCATGGGTGGCACTGGGGATGGTCCCCCCTCATCTCCACCCGGCTGGAAGCCCTCCTGTGGTTCCTGGGTGACACTGGGGACAGTCCCCCAGAGGAATCCCAGCTGTGTCCCCCCCCGGCCACAGCTCCTGAGGGATGGGGAGGGCAGAGCAGGGTGCGTGGGGGGCTCCAGCTCATGGAGGGAAGGACCTCAACTGCTTCTGGAGGGTGCATTTTGGGAGGGGGACCCTCCTGGAAGGGGACAAGTGACAGCCCCACAGCCACTTGGGGACTTGCTGTCCTGGTGTTGCCCCAGATCCCTCTGGTCTGGTCCTTCCCTGGTTGCCTCCGGACCCCTCTCTGTGTCCTGTCCCCAGGGTGGGGGACCCACCATGTCCCCACTCCCCTTGGTGTCCCCACTCCCCTCGGTGTCCCCATCCTCCCATGACACAGGGTTGGGGCAAACGGAGCCAGGGGAGGCCCTACTTGGACAACCTTGGTGGCAACAGTGAGCAGAGGGGTCCCGGTAGCCCTGTCCCTGCCTCCTTCCTGGACAAGGAGCTGGGGTCTGGGGGGTTCCCAGCCCGGGGGCCACCCCCATCACACATCTCCCCCCACCGGTGGGTCAGCTCCAGCCCCAGGGTCCATATTTCCCCCCCCAGCATCGATTTCAGCCCCAGGAGATCTCTTTGAGCTCCAGCCCCACCTTATTAACGAGCAATAGGATGGGAGGAAACAGCCTCAAGGAGCAGCAGGGGAGGTTTAGATTGGATTTTAGGAAGTATTTCTTCGCCTAAACGGCTGCCCAGGGGACGTGGTGAAGTTGCTGTTCCTGGGGGTATTTAAAAAACACAGTGGCATCAACATCTCAATGATCTTGAAGGTCTTGTCCAGCCTGAACCATCCCGATTCTTTACTTCAGCCCCAGCCCAGCATCTTCCCGCATCCCTCCGCTGCGGGCAGCTCCTGGCTCTCCCGCTGTCGATGGGACCATAAATCTGTCCCCGTTGTCCCCTGGGGATCGATGCCATCGCTGTCCCACCCCCACCTTCAGCGCTGCCCCCCAAGCTTTGCCCCCTCGCCCCACCTCGGGCATTACATCCCTGCCAGCACCCCACTCTTGGGGGGCAAAAGCCACCAGATCCCACCTCCACTGAGGGTCCCACAGCCCCACTCCCCCCACAATTCCCCCCCCGAGCACCACTGGGGGGCTGGGAACAACCGCTCAGCCCCCATTCCCCATCCCAAAAGGGGTGCCCCAGCACCCCCCGGCCCCGCTCCCGGGGGTGCCGAACCCGGAAGAAACCGGCTCCGTCGCCCTCAAATCAGCTCCGAAGCCCCCCGGGGAGGGGAGAAACCCCCCGGGTGCAGGAACCCCCCCGCATCCCCGGGAGGGAGCGCTAGGAACGGGATGGGGGGGGACGACGGACCCCTCCGGTGGGGGGAACCGACCCCCGGGGGCACCCCCCGCCCCGGGAAGGCTTTAGTAGAATCGGTTACGCTTTACCGCGCGTCATTTATCGTTATGCATTATTATAATAATAGCTTTATTCTCGGTTTTAGCTCTATTATTCCTCCACCCCCAGCAGGAGCCGTGCCCCTCTCCCCCACTCTCCCTCCTGCCCCACTCGGGACCCCCCCGACGGTCACCGGCCGGTGTCTCCCCTACCCCCGCGGGCCCCACCACACACGAACCTCCGGGGCCGCCGCCGCTGCCGGACCCCGCCGGGGCTGGACGCGGCCTACGCTCCCCTACGGGGCACAGACCCAACCGGCTCCCCCCGGCCCAGCCCGACACGGGTCCCTACAGCCGCCAGCGCTGCCCAGGCCCGTTCCGGTGCCCTCAGGGCCGCTCCCGGTGCCTCCCGGTGCCCCTCATCCCGCCTCACCGGCGCCTCCCGGCCCGCGGGGCGGCAGCGCCCTCCACTCCCCTCAGCCGCCGCACCGGATCTGCCGCCAGCACGCACTGCGCATGCGTCCTACAAACCCCGCCCCACCCCCTGCCCCGTCCAGCCAATCACAACCCGAGGCGCTGCCCGGCTCCGGCCAATCCCGACCCCGCTCATCTTCGCTTCGCCCAATTACGACCCGCCTTTGCAATCCGCCCTCTCTCCCCGCTCCGCCCGATGCCGGCCCGGCCATTAATCCGGCCCGGCCCCTCCGCCTCGCTCCACCCAATCCCGACCCGTTCATTCAATACGGCCCCGCCCTCCCAGCCCCCTCTTGCCCAATCACAGCTCGTCCTTTCAATCCTCCCTCTCTCCCTGCTCCGCCCGATGCCATCCCGGCCATCAATCCGGCCCCGCCCCTCCTCCTCACTCCACCCAATCCCGACCCGCCTCTTCAATACAGCCCGCCCCCTCGGCCCCGTCTCGCCCAATCAGAGCTCGCCCTTTCAATCCGGCCCCGGCGACCCCGAGGCCCCGCTCTCTCCGCCGCCCCGGGGGTCTCCACACCCTCCCTGGGCAGCCTCTGCCAGGGCTCTGCCACCCTCACCCCAAACAAGTTCTTCCTCACATTGGAGTGGAACTTCCCATGGTCCAGCTTGTGCCCGTTGCCCCTCGTCCTGTCACTGGGAACCACTGGGAAGAGTCCGGCTCCATCCTCCCTCAACCCACCCTTTAGATCCTTGTCAGCATGAAGAAGGTCTCCCCTCAGCCTTCTCTTCTCCAGGCTCAGGAGCCCCAGCTCTCTCAGCCTTTCCTCATCAGGGAGATGCTCCAATCCCTCCATCATCTCTGTTGCCCTACGCTGGACTCTCTCCAGCAGTTCCCTGTCTCTCTTGAACTGGGGAGCCCAGAACTGGAGGCAGGATTCCAGTTGTGGCCTCCCCAGTGCAGAGCAGAGGGGGAGAAGGACCTCCCTCCACCTCCTGGCCACACTCTTCCCTCCGCAGCCCAGGATCCCATTGGCCTCTTGGCCACAAGGGCCCATTGCTGGTTCATGGAGAGTTTACTGGCCACCAGGACCCCCAGATCCTTCTCAGAAGCACTTTCCAGAAGATCCACCCCTAACTTCTAGTGGTGCCTGGGGTTCTTCCTCCCCAGGTGAAGGACTCTACCCTTGCCCTTGTTGAACCTCAGGAGGTTCTTCTCTGCCACAGCCAGGACTCAATCCACCTCACTGCCCCAGGGCAGGGCACAAAGCACAAAGGATGTCACCATAGGGGGCTGCCGTGTCCCACACCCCCTCCCCAGCCAGAGCAGGGGCCAGGGGCATCTGGAGTTTCCTGAGGGGGTGCATCCTTCCCCCACCCTCCGTTGTCACCAGCCAACTTGGTGAGGATACACTCAGTCCCAACATCCAGGTTATTGATGAATAAGTTGAACAAAGCTGGACTGAGTATTGACCCCCTAGGGGACACCACTGGTCACAGGCCTCCAACTCGACCTTGCTCCATTAATGAGAATGACATTATCGCTGACAATGACAACCCCCTGAGTTGTGTCACGCAGCCAGGACTCAATCCACCTCACTGCCCCAGGGCAGGGCACAAAGCACAAAGGATGTCACCATAGGGGGCTGCCGTGTCCCACACCCCCTCCCCAGCCAGAGCAGGGGCCAGGGGCATCTGGAGTTTCCTGAGGGGGTGCATCCTTCCCCCACCCTCCGTCCCCCCATGTCTTGTGCCCATTGCTCCCCCCACCCAGGATTAAAGGACAAGGCAAA